CCGGCGCCTCGCAGAGCCAGGGGTCGGACTCGCTGCCCCGGGCGCCTTCCGTCCCCTAGACCCGCTGCCCCCTTCCTGCCCCCCACATCTGGCTCTTTCTCACCCTCCTCCCTCTTGCTGTCTCCCCTCTCTTCTCAGGCGAGCTTCCCCTGCAGTCTGTCCCTCTCCCAAACTTGCGGTCCCCTCGCCTCTGATGGCCCGCTCCGCTCGGGACTTGCCCAACAGCAAGCCTGGTCCCACGGGGCTCTCCTGAGCTAAGGCCTGGAGATCCCAGTCGTGGGCATCTTTCCCCGCGCCCAGAGGCAACTCTGTTCTCTCCCTGCCTCCTCGTCAGCCCGGGAGGAAACTGAGGCAGCTCAAGGTCACAGCCAGCACAGGGCGGGGCGAACATCATTTAAACCTCACGCCTGAGTTTCCAGACTGAGCTTCCCCTTGGCCGACTCTGCCCGGGATCCCAGGCCGGGCATATTCCTCTTGGGCGGGGGGCCCTGTGCCTCCTCTGTGCCAGCCACCTGCCTTATCCCTCTCTTCTCATCCGCCCATCTGTGATGGGGGCGGTACCCGATCCCCTCCCGAGGGACAAGGACTCCGGGGATCGCCCACAGACAGCTCAAAACACAGAGAACCAAGTGAACCCCTCTCAGAAGCCTGTGTTGCACATTTGTGAGGCTTCTCCAGACTAAAGAATCCTTTGGTCCCGGTCCCACCTCTGTGCCCCAGGGACACTGGCTCATTTCCCAGGACTGGGCTTTGATGGTCCTGTCTAGCGTCGCTGCTTTTCCCCTCCTGTGTCCACGGGTGCCGCCCCAACAGCTTAGACCGCCCTGCTCTCGGTGTCTGGGGACCCTGACTGGGGCATAGCCTGGCACCAAACCTCTCCTGGCGGCCTGTGCAGCCGTCTGGGCCAGGCCTGCTGGTGGCTGGAGGGAGCCAGCCAGCGCCTCACCCAGTCATTAGGGAAAGTTTAGCCCCAGGCAGTCGCCGACACAGTCTAGAGCTGGCTCAGAAGGAAAAAATGTGTGGCGCTTATGCCCACCAGGTGGGTGGGTGCCGAGGCTGCCTGGGTGTGGGTGGGGAAGCCACGTGTCTGGAGCAGGTGTGTAGGCAAAGCTGGCCGCCTGCCTCAGTGGCCTCTGTGTTTTTCAGCACGTGGCATGCCTGGATGTCCCTGCCCCGGCTGTGGCATGGCTGGCCGAAGGCTCCTCTTCCTCGCCACCCTGGCCCTGCAGCTGCTGGGGAGGGTCGGGGGCTCCCAGCCAGCCCTCCAGAACCGGGGGGCCGCAGCAGCCTGTCGTCTGGACAGCAAGGACAGCGAGTCCTGGGGGGCCCTGCTGAGCAGCGACAAGCTAGACACCTGGGTCTGCTCCCTTCTCGGCTCACTCATCGTGGGGCTCACCGGGGTCTTCCCACTGCTTGTCACTCCCGTGGAGATGGGGACCATGCTGCGCTCAGAAGGTGGGTGGCTGCCGTGCCAGCCAGCGGGGGCGGGGGTCACAGTATGTCTGAGATGGGGGTGGGTCACCTTGGTCCCGTGGGCACCTGGTGCATGTTCACTGTCAGGAAACGCTCACCAGACTCTTTTCTTCTTCTTGGTATTAGGGATTGGACCCAGGGCCTTCACACTGAGCTGCATCCCCAGCTTGTATTGTCTTGTTGTTGAGGTAGAATCTCCCTCTGTAGCCCAGGCTGTCCTTGAACTCTCAGCAGTTCTCCTGCCTCAGCCAGGATTACAGGTGTGCATCACCACGCCCGGCTTCACCAGACCCCTTGTGAACAGGGTCTACCAGGCTAGCTGGCTGCCAGTCCTGGCCCTGCCATCACAAGCTCAGTAGCACAGAACAAGCTACTTACCTTCACTCAGCTTCAGCCTCCCAGGCTTAGAAATGGGGCTAATAGGAGCAGGGGTGTGGCTCAGTGGCAGTAAAAGGCTTGCTTGGCACATGCAAGGCCCTGGGTTCAACTCCAGCACCCCCCTGTTGGGCATCTTAAACACATCTGCCTCACAGGCATCCACACGGAGGGTAAGGGTACAAAGCCACAAGCACAGCCCTCTCCCTTCTGTTCTCTGCCTCCCTTGGGCAGGGCTGCCTCAGGAGGGGACCTGGAGGGGACCTGTGTGCGACCGGGCACAGGCAGGGACTTCCCTTGTTCTCACACCATGTGCGTCCTAGGGAGAGGCTATGCTGGCCAGGCCCAGGCTGTTAGGAGCACCCTAAGGCTGTCACAAGGGAAGCACAGGCACGCAAGTCATGAGGCATGGAGTGGCAGCTTCTCCGGAACCTCACCTCAGCTGTCCTGTCAGATTGAGGGCTTGCATGAGGCACCCACAGAGCCCTTCCAAATCTGTGCTGCGAGCCTTCAGACTCCCCATGTCCCCGCCACTTTTCTGTGATGGTGGCTGAGAAGAAGTTTCCATTGAATTAGCACTCTATTGTCATTTATTTCCCCCCAGATCCTATTTACAGACAGGGAAACTGAGTCTCAGAAGTTGTCTGCAGCTCACTAGCTGGTGGCTTTGGGAGCTGGGACCTGTGGGGCCAGCCCTGTCTCCAAAGTAGGCTGCAGCAAGGGCCCCAGCAGGCTGTGAGGGGTTCTTGCTGGGCACCCAGCCCTTGCTGGCTAGCGGGGTGGGGCCCAGAAGAGCCGCAGCTGTGTCCGGCCTTGAAAGACTGGCCAGCTGCTGGAGCCGGCAGAAAGCCCGGTGAGCCCGGTGGGATAGAGGTGACGCCAGGGGTCCCAGCTGCTCAGTCCCCAACCCCCACCCTCCCATGCAGCCGGGGCCCAGCGCCTGAAGCAGCTGCTCAGCTTCGCCTTGGGGGGCCTGCTAGGCAACGTATTCCTGCACCTGCTTCCCGAGGCCTGGGCCTACACGTGCAGTGTAGGTGAGTGAGGCCCTGGCCGCCTGAGGGCAGAAGTGGGCACTGCTGCCTTCGCCCAGCCCTGGTCTCAGCCCTGCAGCGGGAAGAGGGATCTGGGAGAATCCGGCAGGGCACTTGCCGGGGAGGGCTCGCTGTGCTGCACCCAGTGCCCTGGCCTTTGTGGCCATCCTGAGCCAACAGCCCTGGCCTCGGCCCCTGTCACTGCCCAGGGCCAGGCTCTGGTGCAGGCCCTGGCTTGGCATGGCGCATAGTGCTCCCTTGCAGGAGGTGAGGGACAGAGCCTGCAGCAGCAACAGCAGCTGGGGCTGTGGGTCATTGCTGGCTTCCTGACCTTCCTGGCTTTGGAGAAGGTGTTCCTGGACAGCAAGGAGAAGGAGGTGTCCAGGCAGGTGAGCCCAGCCCCAGCGCCTGAACCCCAGTGGGTGACACCAGGGCCTGGAGGCCCAGGTTCTTAGTTAAGCCCTTAAAAAAGGAGTCTTCCCACGTGCAAGTTCCTGAGTTCAATCCCTGCTGCAGACAAAATCGGCCGTGTTGAGGGTGGTATGGCCGTAGACAATCCCTGGTACAGGAAAAAAAAACAACTGTAAAAGGGGGTTTCCTGGCCTTTTGCCCAGGAGCACTGAGGGTGGCAGCTGCTCTGCCAGAGGACAGGAACAGTGACAGCAGCACAGGCCGAGGGCATGCTGAGTTGGGGGCGCTGGCTCTGTGGTCAGCAGAGGTCCAGCCCAGCTAGAGATACCATTTATCCTGTGCATCTTGCCCTCCTGGGTCTGCCCTGGCCAAGCAGGGTAATCTAATGTCGCCTCCCTCTCCTCCCGGCCTTAGGCCTCCAGCAAAGATTCCACTGCTGCTGCGCTCAACGGTGGCCACTGTCCGGTCCGGCTGGCGGCACAGCCCAGCCTGAACAGTGCGGTCCGGAACTTCAAAGTGAGTGGCCCCACAGTGCCCCTCCTTCAGCCACCAGCCAAGGGGCCCGCTCAGCCCAGCTCAGCCAGCTCTCTCCCCTCCCCAGGCCAGCGGCTATCTTAACTTGCTGGCCAACACCATAGACAACTTCACCCATGGGCTGGCTGTAGCCGCCAGCTTCCTCGTGAGCAAGAAGGTGAGTGGGCCGGGCAGGCAGCCACAGGTGTTTCGGGGGCACCAGGGCACTTGCAGTGATCAGTTGGTTTTGCTCCAAACCCTTCCCAGCCCTCCAGATTGCTCTCCTGAACACTGCCTTAGCCTCCTCCTCCTCCCCCAGCACTGTTGTTTTCCACCTGGTCTGTCCTAGACATTGAACCCAGTCCTTTGTATCTTTTATTTTGAGACAAGTTCTTCCTAAGTTACTAAATTGCCTAGGTGGGACTTGGACCTGGGATCCTCCTGCCTCAGCCTCCCAGAGTGCTAGGATTACACACTTGTCACCTGCACCTTTTGCCACAAGCCACACTGCTCCGTCCTTGCTGACCCCTCTCCTGGTTGGGAAGCCTCTGTCAAGCTTCCAGGCTCCCTGTGCTGCTCCTAGATGGGCCCCCAACGCCACCCCGTGCCCTCCCCTTGCTGTCTTCCTCCTCCCACACTTACACTCTGTGTAAATGCACTTCCTCAGAGGCCTCTGCCCCTCCCCAGTCCCAGTCCACTCCAGGCAGCTGGCTGCAGAGCCCAGCGGGAGCCAGCTCGGAGCAGCGCAATCACTCGTAGGGCGTGGGCTTGCGGGGC